CCAAGAAGAATTCATTTGAGAGTGTCCACCTCCTGTTCCACAGTTTCGATTTTGTGGATTCTGTGGCTTAATGAAGTGATCAGGTTTCGTTTTGTTTATATGAAGACACCTACCAATGAAAGTTTTGCGTCGGTAGTATAGTGGTTAGGACGCTGGCCAACCGTGCACGTGGTCCAGAGTTCGATCCCCGGCCACCGACTCACTCCTTTACCTCGCTAAGCCAGAAATAGTGCTGGTAAAGAGGAAAGGTTGGGTATGAGGCTGGCTAGCAACCCCATCCTGTGAAAATAAACACTGCTACAGAAACTCCAAGCCACTAGCTTGAAGCCCTATGTTACACTGGGGAACGTGAAAGGAAAAAAAACCAATGAAAGTTAGTGAATTATCCATTCCATGTCGGCTTTTGTGTAGATGGATTATTTTTTTTTGGTGGTTCATGTTGTGTTGACGTTTTATTAGTTGAACGTTCAGAAAAGATATTTTTTCAGTCTAACTCCTTGTCTGATATGAAATGGGTTGTAGTTTGTAGCAGTTGTTGAAAAATTCCAGGGTGTCTTTAAAATTCTCTTCATTATTCATTATTACTGATAATCAAAGTGTCACCCATTTATCGTTTGTAAAACCTTAAGATTTCAAACATTTTCTTGAAGTATGTTCTTTCAAGTTTTCAAATAAAGAAATATGTAAGCATTGTTGTGTGAGGGCTGCGATACTGCCCAGGCGCCCAGACCGAAGCCGGTGGTTTTATCAACGGACCCCCCGTGCCTTTGACTTTGAGTCTAATCCGCAAGGCAGCGGAGCAGCGTCAGGAGCTGCATTCCCATGGTTGCCGTTGACCCATATGGGTTCATACGCCATTTGACCCGATTGGATTCTGGAGCTCATTTACCCCATGGTAACTGCTTTTGGTCTAACCGCTATCCAAACAACCTTCCTGACATGGTAGGACCTGCAGGGAAATGAGTCCTAGCCAGTTTAGCTTGTTGGGTCACTGCGGTGCGGTATTCACGCCCGACCATGACGGCGGCAAGGTAGCAGTTGTCGGCCGAGATGAGCATTCGGTCTGATGGTAAACCCTTCTGTCGACATATACTTCATTCAAATATTGATCTGTAGGGATTTGATTGATTGGTTACAGGATTTCATGATGAGCTAACATCGATTAAACAACCATTGGATATTTGACGTGCATTTCAACAGGAGTTCATGTTGGAGACTTCACGTTCATACGAATCAGTATTGATTTTCAAACTGTTACAGCTCTCCATTTCGTCATCATCATCGTCACCAGAGTCAACAGCATCACATTATGACCACTAATCACTAACTAATTAACTTAACTAAAAATCTACCAATTCTTACGAAGAAAAGGAACATTGAAAAGTCGAATAAAATAAAATAATAATGATAATAAAAAAAAATTAGGAATTAGTTAGGAAGTTGTATGTCTAGTTATTTTGAATTGCTACATACTACTTAAAAAGAAGACGAAGAGAAGAATAGAATAAGGAAGAACATTCCAATAATGATTATTATTGTCATTATTATTACTATTACTATCAGTACTACTATCATTATTGTGTACAATGATTTCAACTTTAAAATTCTCTTTCTAGTCTTTTAATGACAGGAAATCAGAGAGTAGGTGAGTGAGTAGTGCTCATATTTTATATGGGTATGTAGAAGTGGATTCTAATGAATAATAGTCTGTGCAAAATGAACATATATTCATTTCTCTCCTCTCCTCCGCCCGTCCCCCTGCTCTTGTTCCTTCAGGTTTTACTTGTTCCTATTTCTTGTTCTTGTCCTTCCTCTTGTTCTTGTTCTTCTTCTCCTATTTGAGTATGTTAACCAACAATGGAAAATGAAAGGACATTAAAGATAATAAAAAGTTAGTGGAAAACAGGCTTGGTTGGGTGGATGGGGGTTGGAATGAAAGAAGCAAAAGGTATGACGTTGAAGAAGAAACGTGGTGGTTAATGACGTGAATGTTCATTACATTAAAAAGTCGTAAACAAGATAGAGTGAGTTAGAATACGGAGAGAGAGAGAGAGAGCGATAGAGGTGGACATAAGAGTGAATGATAATCGAATAGTCATTATATTCTTTCTGTTTGTGTGTGTGTGTGTGTGTGTGCACGTGTGCCCACGCAGACTTAGTCTTCTAGTTGGAAACTGTTATTTTGACTTAATTTTGCGTGTTACTTTTAATTCATTCATCCGAGTTCCTTACAGTCTAGATTATGCGGAAGATCATCTGGACTTCGATGCGGATGATATTATGTATTAGGTATCACATAAATTCGAAAAATTAAAGGTGAAAATCAACAACAACAACAAAAAGCGTCGACCACCACTGTGTTTATTTGCAAAGTTGCATCAGCCAGTGCCAACACAGGTGGATGGATCACTGACGAAATCTCACCACGGATACAGAAGGCTCATTTTTGGCACTTGTCAGCCAACTTACGCTATCTTCGGTTTGAGTAGATGTGATATCCGACTGGCTTTCGACAAACAGGGTGTCTGTACTGCTCATAAGTTCGCTTTGGCCTCGATATTAAAAGCAGAAGACATGAAAAGGCCAGCTAGTTGTCTGTGATCATAGGTGCTTGCCTTCTATCTCTCTTGTTATGTGGTTTTATAATAAGCAATATTTGCGGGGGGGGCGCATCGGTCGAGTGTTAGGTAAGGATGGGAAGTCAATCGACGAGGTTGTGGAGCTACATTGATTGACTCAGAGAGTTAAGTGGTGTGTTACACATTCCCAGTGATCGCTTTTCTCGACGGGTCAATGTTAGCCGACATAGGTAGGATCAGGTTGGAAGAGTTAAGAGTGGCGGTCAAACTAAAACATGGCTTCATCAGTCAATGAAATCCACAACAGTTAGTTTGAGCTAGCCAAGTGGGAAGGCGTATGTCCTTTTAACTTGGCCTAACTTGTCTATTTTTTCACCTCTTAACTCTTTGTTATATATACATGCTGAGATTTTGTAAATTCCGGTTTAATAATACTTTGATAAAGCTATTAATAGCATTAAGTAGCGAAACGTCAGTAAAAACAAGAGCATCGTTTTGTTTTTTATTCATTGGGAAATACAAAAACCTTTATTATGATGTATATTCCAGGTTGTTGACAGTTGTACTACTGAGTCACCCTTGTAACATGTATCCAGCGTGTGACCTTAATGAATATAGATTCTGTTATAAGTCTCTCTCTTTCCATTTGTTCATAGAATACAAAAATTGTTCCAATCGATACTGTGGTTTTTGTCCCATGCTGTATGTGCAGCTATAGTTGAATTTTTTTCTAAATTGTTGTAAGCTTGTGTTCCTGTGGGATAATGATCTTTAGTTAGGCAGGCGTTTATGTTCATTCACTCTTATTTTGAGTGATCTGGACGTGCTTGGCCCACATATTTAGTCGGACACTCGGCACAATATATTTGGAGCAAAGGTACATTAGTGAATAACGTGTTTACATCAAAAGAGTACATATTCTCATTCATAATATTAATATCGTCAAGAAAATCAACCAATTCAAATGTATCTTTTAACAGATACTTACAGAATTGTGTATTGACTGGATGCAATAATTCTACTCTGCATCGGTGGCACAGCGGTTGGGACGCTTGCCGACCATGCACATGGTCCGGGATTCCATCCCCGGCTGACGAACTCCTTTACCTCACTAAGTCAGAAATAATGCTGGTAAAGAGGAAAGGTTGGGTATGAGACTGGCTAGCAACCCCATCCTGTAAAAATAAACACCACTGCTACAGAAACTTCAAGTCACTATCTTGAGGTCCTATGTTCCACTGGGGAACGTGAAGGAAAAAAAATAATTCTACTAACCATTTAACAAGTTTGTGCCTTGGGGATTTGCACATTGACAAAATTTGAGGTAGTGAATCCCCATGGCCTAAATGCTATAAGTAAGGATAAATTTGACTCTCTAAAACCATCAGAATGTAAATTTCCGCATATGTATGGTTTGCCAAAAATACATAAACCCAGTAATCCTCTACGTCTTATATATTGTCAATGTGCAAATCCCCAACGCATAAACTTGCTAAATGCTGGTAAGTAGAATTATTGCATCCAATCAAAACACAATACATTTTGTAAATCACATTGTTTTTATCCATCACTTTTATGGGATCTTTCAATTGATTTATTTTATTTTCAATTAGATTCGTCGGTTTAAACATTGCACGAATGTGAATACTTTCGAGGTTTCTTTGAATCGCTTCTGATGTACCATTTTTGTATGATATCGTAACTATTTTGTTTTGCCCTCTTCCGTTTTGTCATTCTCTGGTTTTACCCTCATTTTTATATTATCTTTGATAAATTCTTTTTGGTAGTTGTTGTCGAGTAACATTTTGAATAGGACTTGAATAGAATTTAGAATCTAATTGGTGGATGGTGACTAGCAGTGGAATCCAACAGGATGCGCATTTCGTCCTAAATTTGGACTCGTCAGCCACTGGATGTACCTACATTCCCCAGTCATTAATTGATGATGTTCCCATTGGGACTCAAACCCAGTACCCATAGTTTCAAACACCAAAGCGTTCGTTATCTACTAGACATCCTCAAAGCATGTGCACAAGAAGCCGACAGGCATGTCAACATGAGAACGAGCACTTCGGTTCAATCAATTGACGGACGTTTATTTCTTTACGCTAGTCCTCTGATGTTGTCGTATGTCTACATATTCTATCTGCAAGATCTTGTATTAATCGTCGTTTTACCATGAGTGGATGAACTGAGTGATTGATAAACAAGGAATCTTCCAGAGTGTGTAGTTTTTCTATATGCATATATAGCGTCGTTTTAACGTAATATAGTTATCGAGAAATCCCTCACTGTCTCTTTCTCTCTCTCGCGCGCGCGCGCGCTCTTGCTCTCCGCATATGTATATAAACAAATAAACGGTTGAATGATTCTCTTTATGAGAGAGATAATTGACTTTCTGTTTCTTGTCCATTTTCACAGATGTACCACACAATTGTATATCATCATCCCGGTTACCCCCTGCTTCGCTGTTATCATCATCTCAAGGTGTTTCTTCTGCTCCGAGGTCTTCTCATTCTGACGAAAATAGTAAACAATGCAATCCGATTAACAATAATAATGTGACCCCTGCAAAAACTGATATATGCATAAATAATCAACCAACTGGATCGTCAGTACTCCAACAACAACAACAACAACAACATCATCAAGATCAACAAATCTCTGTTATGCATGATAGATCAGAGAATTTATCCGATTTATCTGAGAATTCATTGAAAGCATTACAACTGCTGTTAGAAGCTGTTAAAAGTACAATGTTAAGTTTCTCATCTACGGGTAATGTTTCCACCAACTATTTATCTTCAGTAGCGACATTGGCAACACTTTCATCAACATTAATCCCACAATCAGCATATTTTTATCCTAGAAAAGGACAACATTTTCTGTCTACTAATGGTGGTAGTACTGTTAGTACTAATTCATCGACTACTATTACCACTACTACTACGACTAATGCTAATAATAATACTAGTAGTAATAGTAATAATAATCATAATATTAACAGTAATAATAACAGTACGGATGATCAAAATTTATACGGTGTACATTTGAATAATTATAATAATTTGTATCATAAACACGCGGTACCTAAACGCATAGGTAAGACTCTTTTGTTATTCATGCTTTTATTCTATGTATATGTGTATTTGCTTTGATTGATTGATTGAATTTCTAGGCAGTTATCTGTGTTATGCTTCCTGGTCCGTTTACAACGTGGTGGTGTGATGGTCACTACCACGCTCTATGAATGACGTAGATATGATGGAGAAGATTTATAACTCAAGTGGATGATTTTTGATGTGGTTGCGTGTCTCTGAGCTAACTGGATGATGATTTATTTGCGAAACTTTCATCGCCCCATATACTAGGCGATGCACCTCTTTAGTGCATACTTCAATTTGAATTGAAGTGAGCTTTTAGATTTCGCAATGAGTTTATTAGTCAGTCATGTCTCCTGATGGGTGACCTTGAACGTGACTCTGGTTGTTTTTGTGTGTTTTCACACCTTCTAGGCTATACTTGGATTGGTATTGGTGTTGATTGTTTCCTTGACTTGAACTTTGACCTGTAATAACAGAAGACAAGGGCCAGGCAACAGATCGTTTATTAAGGAAATCAACACATATTTATAGATTTTCATGTACATTATTATAGATCATTGTTAACAGAAAAACACAGTCCTCTGATTGGTTGTTTCTCACAGAAAGTTAACTTTTCATCTCTTTATGGCTATTTCTTTAATATCAGATCATCTATATGTTAACTGTATCCGCCTACGCAAAGCCTTTGTTCTCATTTTTCTCATGACAAATATTGGGGACATAAACATTGACGTAAACTACTGTTCACCAATTTCGGCTAACAGCCAGCTGTCACCACAGACCCTTTGTGGGTTAGATTTCCTTATTATCGATTGGTTGGGTTGTCTACGTCGATGTCTCTATTGATTGACGATTCGCAGACAGGTTTCCTCTGTTTAATATTTGAACTCTGGTTGTCCCAGTCAAATTGGTGTCCGTTGTTGTCTGTATGCAGTGATTGATATGAGCGAGAGATTGGATGTCATGAATTGGCAGAAGTTAAAATTCATGGGCCGTTTGATCGGGTCCCAGTGGCTTAATAATGGTCTACGAGCTCGCTAGCCTTGTAACCAGAAGGTCTTGAGTTCGAACCCTGGTGATGGGTGCGTACTGCTGAAGAGTCCCAAACCGGGACGAAACAGGTGTCCAGTACTCCCAGGTTTTTCAATGGTCCTCTGACCAATGTCAGCTCATGATGAAATCCTCTAACTAACCAAATCCCTACAAACCAATACTTGGATGTCATGTGTTTTGACGGCTAGTTTATGATCATGGATACGAAGAGGAAGAGGTGGGTAGTCCACTTTGGCCAATTTAGTGTTTTTCTCAGTTGTTACAATTTGTTTTGTAGATGATGATGTTGGTTTTTCTTCTTTCGTTGTTAAGTCTTTCGGCTGACATAGAGGCAGCTGAGTGAAGTGATTTTGTTGGTTTGTGTGAGACGTGAATTCCTGAAGATTTGAAGAGTTTTGCAGTGATTTTTGAGATGACTCACTATCATTGGAGGAGAAGGCGACAATATCCAGGATACCCTGGATCCCTTGGTTTTTTAAACAGTGCTTTTTACCACTCGTCAGCAGTGTGTACCTTCAATCTTCAAGGAACCGGCGCCTTACAGTAATGAGGTCAAACGATAGCTTCACAGGGGACATATGAGTCCTTTCAAGGTTGTAGATACACCTCGTTGACTGGTAAATGACAACAAACATGAAATCTACGTCAAGCTGGGCTTCCTGCTGAACTCATCTAACCATCTAATCTGTTGTTATTATTGTTCCATCGGGTTCCGAGTGGAACATATGGCTCTGAGGTCCTCTTTTGCACGTCCCACACTTGCCCATAGATTCTCATCTCCTCCATGTCACCAATTCGCGCTTCTCATTTGGATTCCACTCTAGCCATGGCCTGCATTCAGTGCGATATCATTCGATGGTATCCTCGGCGCGTGTCCAATTCATCTGTATTTTCTTCATCATGTTTGTTCAACCATAGATTTTTAATTTGTTCTTTCCCAGAGTTTCTTATTGATATAATGCTTGCTGGCCGGTTGGCTGGCTGGCTGGCCATATCTGATCTTCAGTATGTAGCCAGCCGGCGAAGGCAGCTGTTAGAAATGCTTTTCGTGATGTGAGTGTCAAGTTTCTGACTCATATAGAAGAAGAACTGATCGATTAACTGACTTAACATTCGTGCTGAAATTCCGAATCTTTTTGTTTATGTTGCGTAGGAGTTTAAAAGATTTTTCCAAACTAATTTCAAAGTGATGAAGGTGTATCTTGCCTTTCCTATTCTGGCTGGCTGACTCTGGCTTTGACATCTTCATACCTTCCGTCTGTACTTGAAACAGTACTCTGGCTGCCTAGATAAGTGAAGGAGGTGGTAACCCCTGTCAAATCTCTCTCGTTGATGCTGACTGGTTTTGGTTGTTGTCACTGTTCGTAGTGGTTGGCTATCTTCATCACCTCCGTCCGTCTACTCTATTGTTCACTTGGAGTCTTGACTTCACTGGCTGCTTCTCCAGCTAGTTTGTTGGTTTTCGCCTGCCTGCCTGCCTGCCTGCCTGCAAGTCTTTGAGTTTGTGTGATACATTAGACATAAGTTATCCACGCGGGAAACCCAGATCTTCTAAAGTCTTCTTACTGGTCCAATCTGTTCTTGACTTGGCTCTCCCCTCGTCCGGTGCTCCATACAATCCAGTCTACGACAATTGAGAATATCATGGGTGATAGTAAACAGGCCGCCTTGTCTTACTCCCCTCTTCACTTCAAAGGTTATTCAATGTGTTTGCCCAATCATTCGTTGCTACTATTATTTTTATTATTAGTCATAATCTTTTGCAAAACCGACTCAATTGATAATATACGTATTAATTATGATTCACTTGGGTTCTGAGTACGGGGCTTCAACAACACATCTCCACCTTGTTCTGTTGTCTTCTGTCCTCTTCAGCTGGCTAGTCTCACGGCTGTTCATAATCTCTCATCACCTCCTGCTTCTTCCCACATGTCTCCCTCGCTCACACCCACAACCTACTCGAGAAAAAAATAGACAGAGTAGTGCAAAAGCTTAAGCGTGTAGTTACTGGATTACTCACGTACACCCATGCAAAGTTAGGTATTTTTTACACATTGGTAAATGTTTTCCCCTGTGTTTGTCTAGCTAGCCGTTGCACGCCCTATGTCGTGTGTGAATTGACAGAAAGAATTAGAATTCATGCATTGGCTGGCTATTGGATTACTTTACTTTACTTTACTTCGGCTATCTCCTACGGGAGGATGAGCCGGCTTCATGAACCATAAAGTTTCATGGGAATTGGGTACGAGTGATGTCCCCAGCATCGCTCGGCCTTTTGTTTGACAGTGCAGCTCTAGCCTTTACACAACCAAGTGTGACCTACAAGGCAGTAGGAGTGGAGTAGGGAGTCCACTATCCATTGGCAGCCGGTGACCGGAGTCCGGTTCATTCGCCTTTTTGAATGGGGCCAGTCATCCAGGGCATCCAATAAGCCCTTTGTCCATACGTCTGCCGGTGAGCTTCATACGCCAGTCGTTGGAGGTTTGGAATCAGGGTTTAGCCATCTCCCCTAGACTGTCATCCAATGGACAGTCAACCTGGTGAAGAGGGCCGGGCATCCGCTTTTGCCCTCTCACTTCGGTGAAAAATACCTCCGCCACGTGAAGGCAGTGAGTAGGACTTCCTCAGGAGAGGCTATGTAAGACGCCCGGTCATATGGGAGCATTTCAAGAGGTGTACGGAGGGGTGGCCAACCCGCAGCGCAAGACACCCACTCGCGACCATCCTGAGGCTTTGGAGGCTATTGGATTGGCGGATCCCAGTGTGGCGCTTAATAGTTTATGAGCGCTAGCTCGCTGGCCTTGTAACCAGAAGGTCCTGGGTGCATACTGCTGAAGAGTCAGTCCCAAGAGACTCACTAGGACGGAGGGAACTGCTGTCTAGCAGTACTGCCTGCTGGCTGGTTTTCCAGTGGTTTTCTCTCTAACCAATGCCAACTCATGATGAAATCCTGTAAGCAATTTCACAGATTCATCTGAAGAAAGTGTACGGGGTATTTTACATTGCATATTGCTATAAACATCAATTCACTTATGAAACTTCTAGGGTTATTCTGTCAGTGTGTGTATGTGAATGCGAATTCTGTTTAAGTAGTAGTATTAGTAATATAATACAATGATCATTCTAATTTTTCATTATTGTTTTATAACTTAAGATAGAAATAGGTTTCTTTATTTTTTGTGCTGTCAAATTATTATTCTTATTATTACTATTATCAACCACAATAGTAATATTAGTAAGTGTGAAGCATCGATGTTGTTTTTCTACCTGAATAATTTCTCTGAACACAGCTGGACACCGTGTACATCTTTGCTTTGCTTTGCTTTATAATTCTTATGCATAATGAAAATACCATTCACAGTGATAGTAGTCTAATTCTGTCGAAATAATTTGTACAGTATGCAGAAAAACTGATGACGAAAACAGCGACGACAACAACAGCATATGAGACAATAACAAAGTATAATAATTAAGTTTTTTAGAAATCTCTGTAAAGATAAAAATGATGGCTACTTTGGCTTATAAGCAGTCGAATTGTAGCTAGCAGAGACGATATGGTTTATTCAAAGTGAAAGATGTGAAAAAAGGCTAGTCGTGTTTGAACAATCCACAGTACCACAGTTGTTGACGTTCTATCTAACATGTTAGGTGGTGTTATAATAGGGTGAGTAATATTTGAATTGGTTAGGCGTCCAGTGTTAGGTAAGTGTGTGGTGCTACATAGATTCACTGAGAGATGGTTAGGAAATGTATGTTATGCGTATGCCTAGCCATCGCCTTCCTCGACAACAGGCAATGTTAGCTGACTGACATAGGATGAGGTTGGAAAGGAGCTAGCTAGCGGTGGTCAAACCAAAACATGGCTTCATCAGTCAATGAAATCCATCACAGTTATTTTAAGCCAATAAGGTAGGAAGGTGTAGACTTCCTGGTTGGGGTCCTCGG